AAAAATAAAGTTGTTTTTTAAGAATATCATTTTCAGAGTTATGATGCTTGTCCGTAGCTGAATATTGATTGTTTTGTTTCAAACAGAACAAAGGCAAATGATTTTTCTTCTGTTTGTATTCAAAATATGAAACAATAGTTACAAAAATGTCTTTATTCCTTTCTATATAAAATAAGCGACTGAATGCAACTAATTTTTACATTCGAAAAGTGATAATTTTTATCTCTATCGAGCTATATATAAATTGTTTTACTTTCATATAGGAATTATTAAAACTTTATTTAAAATTCTATAAAAATGTCATAAATTGAAACATGCATTTAGCAAGTAAATTAAAGCATACTTTGAAAGAAGATAAATAGAAGGTAGAAAAATCTTAGACAATGAAAATAACTTTCTTGGTATAATATTTATGCAAAAAAATATGTATATAAATTAGAGTGTTAAATTATATTTCAGTGAAAATTATTGTTCAGTATTTGCTAGTAAATTTATTAAAAGATTAAATAAACATATGATATTTAACATATCATTAAATAAATATTGAAAAATATGGAAGAGAGATGACTCAAAGTTGAATATGAATTCTAATTCTTGAAAATTGGATAGATGTTTATGGATAATGTTTTCTCCAAGTATTGTGGTATTTATTATCATACTAGCTTAGGAAATTTATGGATATTTAATTCACCGAAATTAATTTATTGGACTGATTTGGTTGCAAATGGCATTAAAGATAAATTTTGAAGTGTGTTGGAATTATTGATATTATAATTATAAGGAAAATTAATAATGTCTGAATCTTCAAATTATTAAAATTGATTGAATCTGATTTGATACTCAAAATTCATTCCAGTAGAACACAAACAAACTTTAGGGAGTGAAAAAGCTTTCCTATTTACATATGATAAACTGGATGAATTAACTATTGGGTTAGAAATTGGCTAATTAAATTTATCTAGATAACTTTTGTAGATTAAAGAATTTATCCTATAACATTCTAAATTTCATTTAATGTTGGAATATTATTAGAAAATAGATTTAAATGTTCATAATTTTGAATTAAGTCATTAGCAGTTCATAGGTTATCTTGATGTATTCAAACAAGGTTTAAAAAATTTTCCTTTAAATTATAAAGGTTGGAAAATATAATGATCACTGTTTTATTACATGGAACAGGACAGAAGTACAGCTATGTATAGTTTACAATCCTTTTATGTAGTCACCTGCATTGTTAATCATCTGTTCCCATCGATGTGAAAGTAATTTGATGCTGCTAGCAGCCCAATTTATGTACAATTAACCCATAAAGTTTTTTCATCAATTTTGAGGAAATATTTTTGAAAAAATGATTTTTTAAAAGTAATATAAAGTAAACCGCACCATGGATATATACATATCTATTACTTATAGCCCATTTCTGTTGATAATTGCTATGGAGCAGGTTACTTTACAACTGCAAAAATTATTCTTAACATCAAGGCTATGATAGTTATCATAGCCTTGATGTTATTGGCATTCTGACAGAATTTCTTTCATTGTGAAGAGTCATAATGTTTCCACTCAGTGGACTGGTGTTTCTGATACAATTCCTAATACTGAGCCCATGTTTCATCTAACATAATTTTGCATTGGCCCTTCATGCTGTTAGCACTCTAAATGGAGACACGTGCTTCAAAATATGACATCATCTAACTCTACTACTACTCCTCTGCATTACAGCCCATGTATGGCCTTGGCCTCTGACAATCACAGCCAAATCTTGACAATCTTCTGCATGTTTCCTCCAATCACCGACCCTATCTTCCTCAAATTATTCTCCACATCATCCAGCCATCGCTTCTGTGGTCTTACTCTACATCTCTTGCCACCCAGATTTCTGCTATAGATCTTGGCAGCTTTATCATCTGACATTTGCTCAACATGCCCAACCATCTCAGTCTGTTACTCTTTATTTCCACAACTATATTAGTATAACCATACAGTTCTATCAATTCACTGTTTTTCCACATCCTCCATTTCTCCGCCTTACACTTGCTCCAAATATCTTCCTTAGAATTCCTCTGCAGCCACAGTCATTGTCCATGTTTCCGAATCATAATCACCACTGGTCTAATAACTTTGTGATAAACAGCCACCTTCAATCTTCTACATAGGCTAAGGAATTTAAGAACTGTAATCAGGGCCCAATAAGTTCTATTTCCCACTGCAATCCTTGCCTTTATCTCTTCTTTTAAGTTGTTATCATTACTTACCAGTACTCCTAGGTACTTGAATTTCTCACATCTCACATAGTTGACACCATTTAACTTCATGTATTTGTCTTCCCTCACAGCAACTTTCCTAGACAAAAGCAAGTACCGTGTTTTACTGTAGATCACACAAAGCCCCAATTCCTCCACCTCATTTTCCAATCTCCCCAATCCTCCAGCTCTCCCAGGTTATGTGACAACATACCAACATCATTGGCATAAGCTAAATTTTGGCTAACAGTTGAACAGATTGCCAGTTGGTGAAATTGTGCTCCCCCTCTCATCACTCCTTCCAGAACTACGTTAAACAGTAGTGTGGATAACACGTCACCCTGCTGCAAACCTTGATTAATTTCAACTACTTTAGTGAGTTTTTCCTCTACTTTGACTTGACATTTCATGCTGGTGTAAGTCATTTGCACCAATGTGATTAATTTAGATGGTAACTCATATCTATCAAAGTTTGGTACAAAGACCTCCTTTTCACACTATTGTAAGCCTGCTGAAAATCCAGATAGAGCTGGTGAACATCCACATTAAACTCATAACACTTTTCCATTATTTGCTTTATAGTGAAGATGTGATCCATCATTGATCTACCTTGCCTAAATCCACACTGGTAGTCACCCAGTCTCTCTTCTACTAGTGAAGTGAGCCTCCTCGCAGCTAAGACCATATACACAGTATTAAGTAAAGATATACCATGATAGTTTTCACATGTTGCTTTGTCCCCTTCTTATGAATCGGACACATAACGATCCAGCATCTCTTCCTTTTCCAATACTTCCACTATCAACTGGTGAACAAGCCGCATCAACAGTTCACCCACATATTAAATCATCTCTGCTGCAATATCATCACTCCCTGGTGCCCTATTATTCTTCAGGCCAGTCTAACTTCTTAAATTCTTAATTCTTAAATCCTTAATTGCCAGTCTAACTTCTTCTACTGTTGGCATGGGTATTGGTATTACATCACAGCCAGCAATCATCCACTGTCACTCATACTCAGTTTCAAGCCCACCAGTAGCCAAGCGGTCTTCATACCCTGAACACTGGGAGTTCGGTCGCGGGCTTGAATGGGCTGGCCACGTGAAGTTTTCTCCACGTCCGTTAACACCTAAATAGGGGCCAGTTTCCCTTAAAAAGACCTCCTGAAAGGCATCCCCCTAGACTGATCACCCAAGTGTTGCATTGCCTTAACTCAAACAAACCAAACCATACTCAGTTTCATCTTATGCTGGTGTTATAGTCTCTGCAATAGTATTCAGCAGTTCACTAAAATATTCAGCCCACCAATCCAGGATCCGTTCTCCCCAATTATCAGATACGTAATAGGAAAAAAATAATTATGTTATATTTGTTGGGATTAAATGACATCCCATATATGTATTAGTATATTAAAACATTATCTGTTTAATATTTATTATTCTTCTGTAAAACAAAGTCAGTCTTTCAGTTTCTATATAGAAAGTTTAGAATATTTTATAAGATATTGATTAAATATTAGAACAAAGAAATAATTGATTTCCAATAAATCTTTAATGTCAGTTCACATCCAAATTTTTTTTTTCATCTAGGAATACAGTAAATCAATTCATCTGAATTATTCTCTCTTGGGAGAATATACTATCTGTTAAAATCACCAAAAGGTAACTTTCATCCATCATCCACATTGACCAGCCTTATTTCAGACCTATCTGTAACTGTAAAACTGTTATTGGATAATGAAGACTTGTATTGTAATTACTTCAATTATTACAGAATGAAAATGACAATGTTTTACTTATAGAATCTTTTATGTAAATTGTGTTGCAAGAGGATATAAATAGGGGTTTTGAGATATTCAGAAATATTTTTTTCGTTTGGAGGCTGCCGTCTAGGATTCATAATAAAAATAAACGTAACAGTTACGATTTCCAAGTTATCTGGATCGTACTGCTCGTTTCAATTAGCTTACTTTTTTAGATTTTAATGTAAACACGGAGTTTCATTTAATTAAAAGCGATTACTTACTTGATCCCCAAACTAATTTATCATTTCTGCTGGAAACTTATCTGCAAATCACTTATGTTCGTGTTGCCTCTTAAAATTAATGACTAGTATTTTTTGCGATATTAATTTAACGAAAAGTGCGTGATTACGTTAACTTATCACCATGTTCCTGTATGGTGTCTGCGTGACGTACGTGTTTTGTTTCCTTGCATCCATAATGCTAAGCGAGCTTTATAATTTATCATCATACTGTACTTTAAATTAATTACGTCTAGTTTGAGAAACTTTCGACCACTTGTCATGTACAGTACTGTTACGGTAGCATAGCTTACTTTTGGAGGATCCCCCTCCCCTTGGGTACAATGGTTCGTAAAACCCTGACATTGAAGAGAAATGGTTAAAGTTCTACAAATACTAATTTTTTGAGATTTTAGTTGCCATTATCTGAACTAGTTTCAAGTTTTAGAAATTTTACGTTTTAAAATCCCGTTATCCTCCCCTTTCAGGTGTTAGAAATGTTCAAATCTTAATAGCTTTTTAATTAACAAACTTCACGGCGATTCGGTCGTCCATTATTTTTTAAAATATTAAATTTTTTTATTACTTCAATTCTTACGTATTTTAATTAAGAATTGAACTAGGAATGTCAGGAAAAATAAATAATGATCGTTAACTTACGCACCAAAATATCTAAAATTTAATATAAATTTAGCTAGTTAAGTGAGCTAGAGCTATGCCAATAAAGAAAACAGCAAATTTTTCATTAATTTTTATTTTTCATTTTTTTGAACTGAAATATTTAATTTCAAGAATTAGGAATTGGCTGAAGTTGAAAGCTAATATTCTTCGCCACCTTCCTCTTCCACTCCCTCGGTGGAATCAATGCCAACTTCTTCGTAATCCTTTTCCAGAGCAGCTAAATCTTCTCTGGCTTCGGAAAACTCTCCTTCCTCCATACCTTCTCCCACGTACCAATGTACGAAAGCTCTCTTAGCGTACATCAGATCGAATTTGTGATCTAAACGTGCCCAAGCTTCTGCTATTGCTGTTGTGTTTGAAAGCATGCATACTGCACGTTGAACTTTAGCCAGGTCACCTCCTGGTACTACCGTAGGCGGTTGGTAATTGATACCGACCTGTAAAAGTAAAAAAAGAAAGAATTTAGTAAAATGTGAGGAAAACGAGTGCGAAATTTAAAAAATAATTTTAGCTATTCTTACCTTAAAACCTGTGGGACACCAGTCTACGAACTGAATGGTCCTCTTGGTCTTGATTGCGGCAATGGCCGCATTAACGTCCTTTGGTACAACATCTCCACGGTACAACAAACAGCAAGCCATGTATTTTCCATGTCTTGGATCGCATTTTACCATTTGGTTAGCTGGCTCAAAACATGCATTCGTGATTTCGGCTACGGTTAACTGTTCGTGATAAGCTTTCTCTGCGGATATGACTGGAGCGTAAGTGACTAACGGGAAGTGAATTCTTGGATATGGCACGAGATTGGTTTGGAATTCTGTCAGATCCACATTCAATGCACCGTCGAAACGAAGGGAAGCCGTAATAGAAGATACGATTTGACCGATCAGACGATTCAAATTGGTGTAGGTCGGTCTCTCTATGTCCAAGTTACGTCGACAGATATCGTAGATGGCTTCGTTGTCCACCATGAACGCGCAATCGGAATGTTCCAAGGTTGTATGGGTGGTCAAAATAGAATTGTATGGTTCGACAACTGCAGTTGATACCTATAATCAAGATTATATAATGTAAGATTAAAGGAAAACATAATATAAAAAGGCTTTTTGGAAAAATTACTCACTTGAGGAGCCGGATAGATAGCGAATTCTAACTTGGACTTTTTGCCGTAATCGACAGATAATCTCTCCATCAGCAGGGAGGTAAACCCTGACCCAGTACCGCCGCCAAAACTGTGGAATATAAGGAACCCTTGAAGACCAGTACATTGATCGGCCAATTTGCGAATACGGTCCAGGACAAGATCGACTATTTCCTTGCCGATGGTATAATGACCTCTGGCATAATTATTTGCTGCATCTTCTTTTCCCGTTATCAACTGTTCGGGATGGAATAGTTGTCTGTAAGTCCCAGTACGTACTTCGTCGACTACAGTTGGTTCCAGATCTACGTAAACGGCCCTAGGTACGTGCTTTCCGGCTCCTGTTTCACTAAAGAAAGTATTAAACGAATCGTCGCCGCCTCCGATGGTCTTATCGCTAGGCATTTGACCGTCGGGTTGGATGCCATGTTCCAGACAGTATAACTCCCAACAGGCATTACCGATCTGGACTCCGGCTTGGCCAACATGGATGCTGATACATTCACGCATTGTGCTTTACGAATATCTGAAAAAGCAACGAATTATTTCTAAGTATTATAAGTTTAACATCGTGGAAGAAGAAACAAAGATGAACGACCCCGCCGTGTCAGGGGACAAAGGCAATTGCACCAAGTACCAACCAATGGGGATCGATTGCTCGTTCAGACAACCGCATAGTCACACCATTCATTTCCGTCACAAAATAACGAAAAACGTTTAAATTTCGAATTAAAACAATCTTAAAACTTAAAAAGGATAAAAATTCTAAAAACAATTACTCACGATCCAAAGAGAATTCCGGTTATTAGAGGAATAAAAATTTGCTTGTGATCGAAGCGAGCCACGTCTTTCGTCACAAACGTTAGCAATGGCGGTCTAACGGTCGGATTGGATATATATAGAAAAATAACGAGCATGCGCAAATACAACTAAACCAAACGATCTCACCGAACAAGCGGTTACCGATTAGAAATTTCCTTTTTCGTTCGTATTAATTTTACTTATATTCTAATATAATATATTACTAAATTAATTATCGTCGATTAAAATATTAACGAAATGATTTAGTTTAGTAATAAAATAATTTTAAAATATACATCGAAAGTTTAAATATTGACAAATATCCGTTAACCGATTTAACGGTAGCTTAAGTGAATGACATCTCCGCAGTTGGCGCCTCTTCGTTGTCGTCTGACGCGACTAGTTCATTGTCGCCATATTGGAGGGGGAAGGAAGACGATGAAGTATTAAATAAATCATTATTAAATTCGATCACGATCGTACGAATGTATATATATATATATTTTTTTTAACAATTTATAATTAAAATAAATCTCGTTTGGACGAAACGACATAAAAATCAACGCTGATTACTTCCAGACTAAGCAACCGACATATCCGGTTGACCTCATTTAATGGAGGGACAAAGGTTTAGATGGTGCGAAGTTGTAACGGTTTTTCTCTTTTAATGATTAATATTATTGAATGATTTTCTTAATAATTAATAAAATAATAACGATTTTAATCAAATCAAAGCTTAAATGAAATAAATTTACGAAATGATAAAATATTTTTTACATGATTCATCAAGCTTCGATTTGATTAATAACGACGAGTCATTTAATTAGCAAAGAGTTTCATTTTTTACCAAAAAAAAGTGAAATTCTTGCCGTCATCCATTAATTTTCTCTTTCAATCTTTTATATTTTTTATCCTTAATATATATATTTTTTAATTTTTCAGGGTTATTTATGGATATATATAAATACAGTAGACCCCCTATAACACTGTTGACATCGTGTTATATGAATTCTATATTGTACGAGTCACTTACATTTTACAAATACGTGAACTGTTCACAGTCCGGCTCACGTATTTATAAAATCTAAGTGACTCGTACAACATGGAATTATCAACAGTGTTATAGGGGAGGTCTAATGTATTTAGGAATTAGTAAATTATAATCGAATGAGGAAGAATTTTGTAACTAAAGATTTACATTATTACAATATTCAAATACATAAACACTCAAATCCTAATTTAATTCTTGATCAAAGTAAAGATTTGATGAAAAATTTTTAATATTAAAGGCTAAAGACAACCTTTAATATGAAAAATTTAATTTACTTGGAAACCATCCCAAATATTCTGATGCCATTTTAATTATGTTAGAAAGTATTCTGGAAATTAGTGAAATTAATCGTTTTAATTTTTCACGCTTGTTTAATTATATATTTTCATTCTCTTACCCTTTTCAATTTATACATTACATATGTATTGTACTGTACGGTACGTGTATATACTTAGATTCAAAAAATGTATAGATTTTTTGTCGTGTGTCGTTATAGATTTTCCTATGGTAAAAAATAATTGTGTGGATAGCGGTAGAAAGTTATTCGACCATTACACTATCGATCTAATGAAAACACGACGAGTTTATTAAACTTTAAACATTGATGGACGATTAAAGTTTTCGCTGACGTGAGTTAAAGAGATCGGATGAAGCATTCTGAGAATAATCGGTCTGACTGTTTCGTTCTGGAACTTTCCCAGAACATTTATTATTGTGTATGATGTTAATTAACGATTTATATCTTCATTACTGGCTTATTAACTGAAGATATTTTTTTAAAAATTAGTCTTTAAAATACTTGTTTTGGTTATTTGTTATATTGGAATAGATTTACCCACTCTGTATTATTCAATGTATTAACGGATGTATCAAGGAATTGAATTTACAATACTATTAAAAAAATGCTATCATTTAACCATTAAAATATAACGGATTGTGTTAAACAAAATGTGTAAATTCGAACGTGATTATCGAAGAAATGCGTGTTTTATCAATGAAAATAGTATCATTTTTGCTTTTATTGTCATTCTCTATTAATATTATTATTATTTTCGGGAAAATTTCTAATTTCATGAAATGAAGATTATATATTACAGTGGAAAATAGTCTATTTCATTTATAATATTTCTCTAGATATAAGATTAGATTTTGAATATCGTTTTTAGAATTTTTTAATGACTGAGATTATCCTAGACAGAAATATTTTCGCAGCTATCTCTATCTACTTCTGCTGGTCTGTTAAGATGAATGGACTCTAGACTCAAATTTACCGCCTGTAAAACTAATACGTGACTCGCTTTTGAAAATACAATCTTTATTGATCGCTCTCTTAACAGCAGGTGAATTCTATCTGGTTTTCGAGAACCAATAAGATCTTGAAGCTAATAGATTCCTAGACTCCAGATTCAACATAACTCCTAAATACAATTTTTGTCATTGTTCGTAATACGCTATTTAGCAATTCTGCTATTTCAATGCAGCAACCACTCCAGTCAGATAGACGTAGCTTATTACAGGCGGAAGGGAAGAGGTTTATTCTACAAATACAAAAAGTCGTTGTCCTCCACTTTGACGAGAGGATGGACCCAGAAAAGTTTCATTGAATTTGCTTAAACTTCGTCCAAATGCATAAACAACAAGCAAACTTTATACATTGTATTAGACATTATAAAATTAGCCATGACTATTCAATATTTTTTTGAGGTGAATATAAGCATTATCTTAATCTGAATTGCTCATTTAAAACTTCATACTGCACTTAAGATAAATTTAATAAAATAAAATTTATAATGAATGTTTTTAAATAGCTTTAGATAGTGGTATCTCAGTGTATTGATCGCGATCTACCATTTTGTGTAAAAATATTCGGCATACAAAAAAGGAGGAACTCCTTTCATATATTGGATATATTAAAATTTAGTTTTCATGTTTAATAGATTAACTATATTTTAAATAACATTCAATCTAAGTGGATAAATATTTCATTTTTTTATTTCCAAATAATTTTAATCAAATTAAACTTTGAGTATATTAAATCGTTTAGAATTCCGTATTTTAACATATATAATTTTTATTTTTTATTTTTTTCTTAAAAAAATTATAATAACTTCTCGTATTTGGACATTTCCTTTTGTATTGTCTATATATAGGCGGGCTTCAAAATATTTAACGAGTTAAGGGTGTATTCTGGAAATTCTGTTTTTGAAACAAGGCTTTTCAAACAAATTGTCATATTTGGAAATAAATAAGTAAAATTGTTTAGATCATTAGATTTTGTTTTTACATTTAAGTGGCCCATTTGTTCTTACAGTAATATAACAATTAAAAATTTTAAAAAAAGGTTATAAAGTTTAATTATTCGCTATCGTTTCTTCGTAGTTATGTATAAAAGTAATGGCGATGCATAATTTAAAAAAAATACTTAAACTGTAACTTATCTTATTTTTTTCGTGTAAATACTTTTCATAAAAATGCTAAGACTGTTGAGATTCGTTAGGAATTATATATAAATGATTAAATACTGTAATTATCTGCCCTTGAAATTTTAAAGAAAAACATTAAATATGATTATTTTTTGTTATTAAATTGCAAATGATTATATACGATTATATTTTAATAATGAAAAATTAAGAGGAATATCAAGTGAACTATTTAATTAATAATGTCTTAATATTAAATGTTACATAAATCACTAAAAATGTTTGTAACTGTGTTTAAAATAAAATTGCAAAATGATAAAAATGTCAAAATGAAAGATAATTTATATAGGCCTATATATATATTTTTTTATCAATTCAATTTATGGATGACGATTATGTAGACTAATCTAAATCTCAAGATAATTATAAAACATTTTTAAAATAAAAATGAGGACTAAGTAAGTGAAAATTTTGATATTATACTTGATAGCTTTCTAATAATAAATTAGCCTAATAAAAATGTATCAAATCTAGATCATTATCAGAAATTATTATTTTATATCTTATTAAAATACTGCATCATGTTACGCACTAAAAATATTAAAATCCTGATAAATGTATTGATCCAATAAGATTTCGAAGTAAAAATACATAGTAGGGTCGTCGAGAGCGCGAAGCTGGAGATTATTCTCCCTGCCTGGAGAAAATCTGGAGGTCTGCAATGATTTCTACATCTATAAAATCGTTAATACTGTTTTTATTTATAAAGAAATATTCTACGCATCTCACTTGTTCAAAATACAAAAAGTTAAAGGAGCCCATATAGTGATGAGCGAATACTATGGTGTACGAATACGTTTGGTGTAGTCAGTTGACTATGAATAATTTAATAGGACTATACAGTACTATCGCGATTGTTTGCATAGACTAATTCGCCTAGGATCATTACTAGAACTGCCCCTCAGGAGCAGTTCTAGTAGTGAATGAGGAATTAACTCCTCTCTTTGGTAGTATTTGCACGTACCGATTAGTGTAAAGAAAAGTCATTAGATTCAAAGAGAAATAAGAATATGTGGATCTAATGCTATACAACTTCACGGTGAAGTACTAATGCGTGGTTGGAATATTGGTACTTCAAAGCTTCAAATAATAATAAAGAATAAATAAATGAATAAAAATCTTTTTTTTTATTTTAGTCATTATCATCTTTAAATATTTTCTAGATGTAACCAATCTAATCCGGTTACATTTTTCGAACATGCCCTTATTCATGGACAGTTCTAAGTAGACTTCATTTATTAAACCTGTAGCCTATTTAGTCTACGATCAAGTTAGAAAACTTCTGTCCTTGAGTAAAGCTAGACCAAACATTAGTCATTGGATTCATTAATCGATTAATAGAAGTGATTTTATGATTAAAACTTTAGTTAGGCAGTAATTTAGAAATTATAATGTTAAATTTACAAAATAAGATAAATAAATGGAGAACATTATAGAAATAAACAAGGTTGTTATAACTTAATTAGTACTTGAGAGATGAAAGGAGGATGTCACATAAATTAGCAATTGCAGCATTTGATAAATATAAGAATCTGGAATTTTACATTAATTAATGATTACAACAAAATATTCTTATGATTCTTCTACAACCTTATATTTAAAGA